TTTTAACTTACACAATTTTTATAGTGTTTTCATTACAGTAACAGGATAAAACGCATGATGTGGTTACTTATAAATGTGAGAACAGTTACCTATTGTACTATGTAACAAATAATTTGTATTTATCTGAGTTGGCTGTATCTTACGTTAGTAATCCAATAAATAAAAAAAAATAAAAAAAATTATAATATTAATTATTTTAAGTATTATTTTTAAACATAAATTGACTAAAATCTGTAAAATGGGGAAAATTCGGGATAATCCCGAGGATGATCCCGAACTTGTGGAGGGAGGAGTTATATCACCTCAATCCGTCCCTGGCTCAATATTCCAAAAAACCACATCAGCATTTTCATAAGAAGCTAAGTTAGATTTCTGTGTATTGTAAGACAAACAACTCCCACACATATACATAAAATTTAATTCATTCTGTAACTAACCACCTTCGGAAGAACATTAAATTATTTTATATTTTAAAGGTACAACCAGAGTGACCAACATAGCCCAACGGATTAGTAAGCTGAAGTGGCAATGGGCCGGCCATATAGCTCGAAGAACCGATAACCGATGGGGAAGAAAGGTTCTCGAGTGGCAGCCTCGTACCGGTAGGCGTAGTATAGGACGACCCCCACTAGATGGAGTGATGACCTGTTAAGACAGGCAGGAAGTCGATGGATGCAGGTGGCTTAGAACCGTGCTTTGTGGCATTACTTGGGAGACCTTGTATATTTAATGAAGTAAAGCAACCTTCACCTGTGATCACGAACATATTTATGCACGGGGGAGAGCGCCCCCCTCTAATGACTGGGAATCTAAAACAGCAATGCTAGACGGAAGCATTAATGGGAGGCCTATGTTCAGCAGTGGACTTGTGAAGGGCTGTAATGATGATGATGATAATGATATTTTAAATTGTGTTTTTAAAAAGACTGTCGAGGTCCGTCGCAATTTAAGTAGGTAGCTAGGGCGGGCGGTGATCCTTACAGTGATTACGTCACTCGGGCGCATAGGGTATTCATGAATTTACGAACGGTGTCGGACAGAAACTTTTTAAATTTTATGAAAGAAAATAGCGTTTTTTTTTTAAATTCGGATAAATATTTTTATATTAAAGCCTACTACCTATGGTTTTAGTGACAACGGTGCTTACACTTACACCTTGTATATTTAATGAAGTAAAGCGACCTTCACCTGTGATCACGAACGTATTTATGCACGGGGGAGAGCGCCCCCTCTAATGACTGGGAATCTAAAACAGCAATGCTAGACGGAAGCCTTAATCATTTTTAATACTAACCATTTCATTTCTGCAAATAAATTCCATAGATAAGCCTTATACTGTTCGAAAAAATATTGCATGCCTTAAGCGCAAAGCGAGTAGTTATGTTCTACTAGCGCCGAAATGTTAAGAATCCAACGTTTTGTCTCATTAAATCGTATCTAACAATTTTATTGAACAAATAAATGATATAAAACACATTGTCGTAGAGGTTAATGATAGTTGAACTTATTTTTTGTTTAAATCGATTAATTGGTATTTCTACATCAAAAAGTGGTTTTAGTGAATTATGGTGTAGATTTATCAAGTCCGCGTGAAGGGGTAAACACGATAACTTTTGTGAATATCAATTGTTCAACTTAATCTATTTTTCAATTTCTTCATCTATCATGTGGAAAATCTATGGAATGTAAATGGTTGGTTAATTTTGTTTTGTTTATATATAATTAATTTTTTTCGGCTGAGTAATTCCGAAACTTTCGGTGTTTGAGCAACCTTATAATAATATAATAATGTTTTACTAAATATAGATACACTTTGATACACTGAGGGATCGGCCGTCGTTATACGTTGGCTACTGTATCATTTGTTTACAGCTGCTCGTGATGAAAAATATGGATCGCTGTAGAAACACAAAATATTCCAAAAGCAAACTTTGATACATACTTGACTAAGGTAAGATATTATTATTATTTTATAATCACAGATTTTCATTACAATATATTGTTTCTATAAAAGTACGTAGAATTTATATATAAATATACGTCTTGGACTTTATGGAGTGACCTGAAGGTGTATTTTGGTTAATGCTAAATTAAAATACTAGTTATGAATAGATGAAAAACTTTTGGAGAAAGATATACCTTTTTTTAAGTTGATTAGAAAAAAAAATTAACTAGTCAAATAAAAAATACTAGTTTTTACGATAATGCCGGAGTACAAATACCTAAAAATTAAAGTGATATTAAAGTTGATTTCTGATCGTTTTAAGATAATTCTGTTAAAAGTTTCTTTCAATTGACAATAATAAAAAATAATAATAATAACAGCAAAATTTAAAAAAATGTTTTCTATTGTAGATTGAGATTTTTTTTCCACGTATTTTCACGATCATATGAGCATTATGAGTCGTTCACTTTTGGATTTTCCAAAAAAATTTTTATTTACGTTAGAACAAAAATTGTTGGAAAATAGAAGTAACAGTAAAAGGGTTATTTGCGAAAACTTGTGTGTGTTTAAAAAACTTTAAAAAATTCATTGATTTATATATTACACTAGATCAGTAATAACCGCGCCAAAGCGTTACCACTGCACATATGGCCACAGCCATATGCCTAGCTAACGTCAGTTCAGTGTTCAATGTGACGCCGACAGAGTTGATCCGCGACAAAAAATTGGTAAATGCGTAGTGAAAGAATGCTATTCAAGGTCACAAAAACGTAATAAATCAAGCGGAATCACTTTCAACACATAATTTTTAGTTCTTGTTTTCATATAAACGTAAAAAACCTCAAATAATTAAATAAGATTAACGAATATTCCCATTTAGGTTTGATGTTGCCACTTTTCCGCATTTGTGATTATCCTACATTAATGAGAGACCATATAATTAATGGAGTAAGTTAATTTGTTACCTCTGATTTTAAATATTTTGGAAATTATAATAAAAACTACGTTTTAACTTTCATACAAAATAATTAATTATTCTTATTTTAGTTTATTCATGAATTATCTATTAAATATATTTATTTTATTACCTACTTATTTCATATTAATAATTTTATATTAATTCTAATTTCGTATAAATTTTATAATAATTATATTTTATTACCTAGTTTATATTGTTCGATTTATTAGTACAATAAAAATACTTTTAAAAATATTTTATTTCATCATTATGTGCACTTCTATTCATTTATCAGATGAATAGAAGTACACATAATGATGAAATTGATGCTTTTTATCCTTTTTTCTAAGGGGACACATTAAAGATTTTAAAATAAAATATTTTTTTTAATATAAAAACAATTAACTGCAGTTTTAAAAAAACTCATTTTTATTGCGTATTTTAGGTAAAATTCCATATAGTAAGCCACACCAACCCGCCATTGCATGTTTGTTTGTCTATCTTTATCTAATCTTGCGAACGAAAATAGCGACGATATTGTTTTCGCAACTTGTGTAAGTGAGATAGATATATGTTTATATAAAATTGTTATTAGTTTCAAAGCTACGTCGTCGCGTTTGGATAGTGGTTACACATTTTTCGACGCGCGGTAATGTGGTTTGCTCCACTAGTGTTGTTTAACTCAATGAAAAAATTGAGCTACGCTTAAGTCATGCTCATTTGGATTTATCAAAAGTTTTATCATACTACTTGAACTGATTTCTGGAAGAAGAATAAGCGTTAAAACTACTTCTAGTAATAGATTATCTCATATTATATACTATTTGTCAAAAACTAGTTAGACAACAATCAAAATTCCTAAAGCGTAAAACGCGTTGAAGTGTCATTGACAGCAGATTGCCGCGCATTTAGATAATCGCATTTGCCTAGAAGAATGTTTCAGAGAATATATCTTTGGACGACATAATGATAAGTGATAACACTAAGATGTACGTATTTTAAAACATTTTTTTTTGTAAAATAATATTAATCTAAAATTACTATATGTAAAGTTTTTAATGATTCTTAATTTTCATCACCATGGTCCTCACAGAGTCCTTCAATACTAACGCCCGAAATTAATAATGATCTCGAATTCAAGATTAACCATAATATTGGATTGGGGCATGTCGTGCGATTGATCTTCTATCCGCATGCCAATAACTCAACTCGGCTATCCCAATTTTTTTTGACGGCAGATTGCAAGCATTCCGATCAATGTTGCCACATTTAATTAGCGTAGGTCTCTAATATAATTTATTAAAAATACGAAACAAATAAAAATCGAGCTTATACCTATATATTTATATACAAGTGTAACAAAAACCCCGTGGTTCCAGTTAAGTGCGTTATTAGTATCAGTACAAATAATGTTGTACATGTTAAGTGATTTATTTGTAATAAGTAATGGAATGTAGTTGTGCTTTTTTAATATGTTTATTATTGTAAAAACAACATCCAGATAATCTTTGTTTCGGTTCCTTTACATTTTATAATTTATTTAACGGATAGAGTGTAAGTATTCCTTACGCCTAAAGTAGTCGGATGGTAACAAAAATTGAAGTAAGTGCAAATGTCGCTAAACATTGAATTAAAATCCCTAAATTAACAAAAAACTCGTTAGATTTAGCGACAAAGTCGCTAAAGTGGCAACACTGAATCCGATCCCTCTTGACCGTTCCTTTTGATGAAAAATATCGATTGCATAAAACTATATTAAGTGTGTTTTAAAAATAAATTCAAAAATTCAATCATTCACGTAACTACTTATAAATAGTTCAAAATAATCTTTGTAACTTAGAACAAGTAATATTATGTCTAAAAATTTACATAAATTATGATTTCACAGTCTATTCTTGGTATTAAAACTATGACATTATTTAGCTAAAATGGAACGTATGATGTTAAACGTTAATTAGACATATTTTGATTTTGACAAATCCAGACGGATCATTTTGATTGAATTTGCGAGTTGCGATTGGTTGCGACGTAAATTATTTCAGTGTAGCAAAGACAATATTATCTCTTGTTATAATATATATTAGTAATTACATTAAAATGGATTCAGAAATCGTAAGTACTTCTTGTTTTATATGTTTCTAAGTTGCGCGCGCTTACTTTGTGACACTTACTATTCCCGCCTTATTTGTAACATTGATGTTAATCATCTGGGGGCACGGTAGTGCCCCGACAAGTCGAGCAAAAAAGTGGCACGGCCGTACTATACTTTTCTCGAAGCAATTCAGGCCATTTTCAACCCCCTATAACTTCGTAGTGGATTAAACTAGAAGCCTGAATTTTCATTAACCAAGTAGGCATTATATAAATATGATATATTTCAAATTTCATCCAATTTGAACCAGTAGCTTAGGAATTATAACTAGTCAAAATTTCTTAATTTTGTCACTCACTGACTGACCGATCATCAAAACTCTAAGACACTTCTATCAGACATAGAAGCTTCAAATTTAGAACGCAATTAGTGTTTAGTGTAAAGATCAAGTAAAAACTAAAATATTTTTTAATTTCGGTCCAGTTTTCTAGATACACCAACTGCATAAATAACTTTGTAATCCTATATGAATATATAGAATTACAAAGTTATATTTGCAGTAAATGAATCGGTGTACTTGTGTATGTGTACTTGTGTATGTATGTGTATAATAGGTGTAGATAGGTACGTTGTTGGTATTCAGGAAGAAGAAGGTACCGGAAAGGTAAAAAGTAGGACTATCTTATCTACAAAAAGAAATGAGATCCCATCAAAACATAACTTGATTAAGGATCAAAATGTAGATTGTAAAAGGATCAAAATGTAGTAGAATGTCACCCATGAGGACTAAGATGTAACTCCTCGTTAACTTCCCAGTGAGAAGTTATTGTAATGGGTCTGATTTCGCAAATTTGAAATTTTAAAATATCTCCACGTTTCAAGCTCTTTAGAGTCGAATAGTATAGTTTTTAAGAGGTATGTATGTATATATGTATGTATGTTCGGAATCAATTTTCACCTCGTGTATTTGAGAGCAAAGAGTGATATTGACATGGGACCAGATTCATTTAACGCATAATTATGTAACTTAGACCTCATTAAATTTAGAGCAAAATCGGTCAAGTCGTTTTTTGTGCCGAATGAAAAATTGTATAAAATATTAAAACATATGATTTTTTTTATTCTTTCTTTCTGGTCCTTCCCCGGTTGAGTCAAATAAACTAAATAATATGTCATCAAAAACATAACTTGTAAAAAAACCAAGTCTCGCAACTCAGTTCTTCTACCGTAAAAAGTTGTGAGATCCATGTAATACCAAGTCGGTTAATTTATTCAGTCCCTACTTAAGGATCCTTCTCTTTGAAGTTATTACGTAATTAGCTAACCTAACAACATTTTATAGTGATCATATCAATGTTAAATATCTTTTATGTTTTAAATATATAGATTGACTTGGCCATCGCACTAAGCAATCTAATATAATATAATATGTATTACTTGCACAGATTATCCCTTAAACTTGCACAAATTATTGTGAGATACATTGTGTTTTCATGGGATGGCCTAGTCAATCTACATATTTAAAACATAAAAGATTTTTAACATTGATATTATGGTCACTATAAAATGTTGTTAGGTTAGCTAATAATTTCATTAACTTCAAGCAGAAGGATCCTTAAGTAGGGACTGAATAAATTAACCGACTTGGTATTACATGGATCTCACAACTTTTTACGGTAGAAGAACTGAGTTGCGAGACTTGGTTTTTTTACAAGTTATGTTTTGATGGCATTATAATTTTCTTTTACTAGGTAAAAGACAAACCTCTTACAAAAGAAGAGACAAAGTCTTTGCTTGGACTAATAGAAGGTAGCAAAATAATAACCACCAAAAGAACCAGCGCCACAAACAACAAACTCAAAACTGAAGAGTGGATTCGTTTGGCAGAGCGGTTCAATGCCACAGCTACGAATTGTCCGAGAACACCACAGCAGTTGCGTTTGAAGTGGGAAAATTTAAAAAAGAACTCGCGCAAGCGCAGCACCCAAATAAGGATGAACCAAATTAAGGTTATCTACTTCTAACACACGTAAGGTGCATGGGGTAAGATCAGTGATAGTATGCTATATTTTTGAAAGCTATATTGTACGCGACTCTATTTTATTCTGGCCCGACCCCAAGTTTCAGCCAGTCGCTCCGAGAAGTAGAGCGTGTGCTGCGCATTATTTTATAAAGCAAGGTAATTTTTGTATTTTTTTCGTCCGTCCGGTCTTTCCCTATCACTTTTATTTGCGATTTTTAGCGACGTCCGTTCTTTCCCCTTGATGGCCAATTCTTCATCATGCATATAAAAAATTATGCCTGGTCTTCGCACACGTTTTATGCAGAAACTGTTGAGTTTTGAAAAGTAAAAGCTTCTTATAGCTAAATTATGTGTAACCATTAACGATTTGCGCCATGTTTCAGAAATCTGATGTATATGTATGTCAAGAAAATAAAGTTTTTGCCCGACTCTTAACTAGTCGAAAATCGTCCAGTATTACCCCAACTCACCTTATATCTTTATTCATAGTCTAAGACTTTTAATGGCATGTTGTAAATTAATGTTAAATCTAATATTCTTATTGCAGACTGTGGTGGTCCTGCCGATTATATACCTCGAGATGACATATTAGACCAGGTGACCAGTCTATTAGGAAGTACAGTCAGTGGGTTTACTGTGCCTTTGGGGGTGATAAGGAAATGGCTTGGTTTGATGTTTGTGGTGGTGCTGATGGTATAGTTGGAATAAATGGTGATGTTGAAGAAATTGGAAATGTGACAGTGCAGACAGAACAAATAGTGGATTGAAGTGAAATCACAATCTCAACACCATTATCTAATGAAATAGGTATTGAGACTGTGGCCGCTGACTACCAAGTGTTGGATGTAGTTGACCAAAATTTAATAATTCCTAATAAAACCAAGAGGCTTACATTTGGTAAACCTAGAGCAGGTAATGTTTGTTTTATCGATTTTTGACTTATCACTGATTAATGTTTCTTGTTTATTACCTTCCATACTTTCTTTATATTTATGTAATACAATATTTATTAATTTAACTTTGTGGAGGATTATTTATGTAAGGCTTATTTAATTGCATTGATGCAAGCTATCACATCATTTATATCACAGGGAAATCAGACTGTCAATCATAATCATTTGTGAAATATCTTTTCTTTATGAGATTGAATCTTTTATGTTAATAGTTATAATCTCATTAAAGTATCTTAACCTTTTTCTTCAAACTGTGATCTTATAGATGAGATGACAGAATTTTATGAATACTGATTTCTTTGAAACAGCTAAATATGAACAAAATCCCATTATTGCATCCACAGTATTTATATATGTTAAGTTTTATGAAAAAAAAAGTGAGTGAACTTGTATTGATTTCATATTTGCTCTGTTTTCCAGTGAAAAAGAAATTTAAGCCAGATGAGAACAGGACAGCCAGGAACACTGCAAAAGCTGAATATTATTCAGCGAAAAAACAATGCTTGGATGCCAAATTAAATAATATTAATTTAGAAAATGATTATTTAAAACTAAAAAATGTAGAACTTAAATTGAATAATGAAAAGCTTACGTTAGAGACTGAGAATTAGAGAGGTTAAGAAAGCAATAATGTCTAGTGTAGTATAATAACTTTAATACTTAATTAGTCTGTAGCTTAGTAGTAGTAAATTTGAATATATAAATGATTGTGTAATTGTATTAAATTTAGGAAACCTTTGCATGTAAGTAGTCAACTTATATATGGTCTTATTGACCCAGTTGACGAAGCATTGTCTAAATAGTGATCAAGAAAAAATTATTACCTATCAAATTAAATGATTGTTTCCATCCCCATTATATTATTGTTTATTTTTATAATTATTTTGAATAATTATAAAAATAAACAATAAATAATTAAAAATTGGCCCGTCTGGCTACGTTGAATGTATGTGGGGCAATGAATGATAAAATGGATGAAGTATGCGATATGATGTATGATAGAGGAATAGATGTGTTATGCGTAAATGAGACGAAAAGAAAGGGGAAGGATGTCACTACACATGGCATGTATACCGCATACTGGTCTGGTGTAGACGAGATCGAGCGGGCATGCCAGGGAGTAGGTATCATCCTTTCAGAAAGAATGGGCCAATGTGTGAAAGAGTATGAATGTGTAAGCCCCAAGACTGCTATGGATACGAATGAAAGTGGGCTTAAAGAAGTTGTTTGTGTTAGGGGTCTACGCCCCAGACATGTCTAAGCCCACTTATATCCGAGAGCAGTTTTGGGAAATGGTAAGGATGGTGTTAATGAAGTGTAAGGGAAATGAAAATATTATTAAGTATGCTAAGAGATTTTAATGGAAGGGTTGGGGTCAGGAGGCTTGGTTATGAAAGGATATTGGGAACGTTTGGTGATGAAAGTATAAATGAGAATGGTGAAAGTCTCCTCACCGTATGTATGGAAAAGAATCTTTTTGTGACGAACACTTGCTTTCGCCACAAGAGGATTCACATGTATACTTGGGAAAGAGATGACGATAGAAGCATGATAGATTTCATAATTGTGGATGAAAGATTGAGGGGCGCAGTGGTAGATACGAGAGTTTACCGGGGTTCTAACGTAGGAACGGATCATTATTTAGTTTTATACCGAATTAATGGTCTATTGAGGCGTTGGCGCCATCGATCGTCTGTGTCTACCACTGCGTTACAGCGTATTAGAACAGAAAGGTTACAAGATGAAAGTGATAAAAACAAGTTCAAATGTAGACGGAAAGAAAATATAAGTGGTTTGGATGAATTATGTATGAAGGAGTTAGACTTGGAGAATATATGGCAAAATGTAAAGAAAGGTTTAGTGGATGCAGCTACCGAAGTATGTGGTGTTAGTAAGAGGAAGAATGAAAGGAAAAATAATACGTTATGGTGGGATGATGAGATACGTTTGGAAGTTGAAGCAAAGAAGAGAGCATGGCTAGATTTACTAGCAACAAAGGCTGCTAATTCTAGTGGTACGAATGGTGATATTGAAAGAAAAAAGGCAGTCTTTAGACATCTTAATAAGAGAGTAAAAGAAGTAGTTGAAAGAAAAAAGCAAGAAAGAACGGATAAGAATGATAGAAGAATATCGGATAACTTCCAGGCAAATATTAAAATGTTCTGGAAACTTGTAAGAACTGCCAGGGGACATTCAAAACAGCCTATGATGAATGCTATAAGAGACGAGAATGGCTATATTCTGAATGATGAAGTTTTGAGTTTAAAGAGATGGAAGGAATATTTTGAAAGCGTGTTTATGAGTGAGGAGACAACGTGTGTACTAAGTGAAGTAGAAACTCCGAAAGAAGAGGAAAGAGGTAGCGGGATAAGTATAGATGAAATAATGAAAGCAATGAAAAGCAGAAAGGGTAAGGCTGCCGGATATGATAGAGTTTCACTCGAAATGCTAAGGGCTGGAGAGGAAGTGGTGGCAGACCTGCGCACACCTTGTTTAATTTATGCTGGGAACTGAAGCGGGTACCGGTAGACTGGTGCAAAGCCGTGATAGTCCCATTATATAAAGGAAGAGGGTCGCAGCAGGACTGTAAAAACTACCGTGGCATCAGCCTTCTTAGCATTGTGGGAAAACTGTATGCTAAGGTACTGAAAAGAGGGTCATGAAAGAAACTGATGGTAAAATTTGGGATGTGCAAAGCGGGATTTAGAAAGGGAATGGGATGTACAGATCAAGTCTTTTCCATGCGCATGATCGCGGAGAAGTTTCTGGCCAAAAACCAAAAGGTTTTTTGTGCGTTCATGGACTTGGAAAAGGCCTATGACAGAGTGGATAGGGGTTTGCTATGGCAAACACTGAACTCATTTGGATTGGGCGCTGGCTTGATACAGGCATTGGAGTCTCTTTATAGGGACTCTAGTGCTTGTGTTAGGATCAACGGGGTCTACTCGGACTGGTTTGACATCCATAAAGGTGTCAGACAGGGCTGTGTGGCTTCCCCGTGGCTGTTCAGCCTATTTATGGACAGTTGTTTGCAAAATTTGAAAGTTGAAGAATGCGGATTAAGAATGGGTGAGTTAACCGTCAAATGCCTTTTGTACGCCGATGATCAAGTTATTCTTGCGTCGTCGGCGGCCGAGTTGCAAATGATGGTTACATTAATGAACGGATCATTAAAAGAAAGGGGTATGAAAGTGAACGCAAGTAAGACGAAGGTTATGGTTTTTGGAAGAGAAGAAAGTAAAACGATTTGTGAAATAAGAATAGAAGGGGAGTTGATCGAGCAAGTAGATGAGTTTGTATATTTGGGCTGCTTATTTAGCAGGCATGGGAGATATGATAAGGATATAGAACGACGAGTGAATGCGGGAAATAGAGTAAATGGGGCCTTGCACTCTATTGTGAAGAGTCAAAATGTGTCGAAAAAGGCACGTATGGCAATTCACAATGCTGTGTTGGTCCCTACTTTAACGTATGGTAGTGAAAGTTGGGTGTGGCAGAAGAAGCACGAGAGTAGAATTAACGCAGTAGAAATGCGGTCGTTAAGGAGTATGTTAGGGCTGAATCTGAATGACAGGGTAAGAAATTGTGTAATAAGAGAAGAGTGTGGTTTGCAAGATGATGTTGTGACCAGGATTAAGAAAGGAATGCTTCGGTGGTTTGGTCATGTGGTAAGAATGAATGAGAAATGAGTGACAAAGAAAATTTATGGTGCAGAAGTGAATGGCAGAGTCGGAAAGGAATGTCCTAGGCGAAAATTTATCGACCAAATTGGCGATTTATTGAAAACGGGCCAAATTAGGAGTACCCTTAACCGACGAGCATGTATGCGTAGGTGTATGGATGTGAAGGAGGCAAGAGAGGTGTGTCAGGGTCGTGCCAAATGGAAGTCTGTAGTCTCTGCCTACCCCTCTGGGTGACAGGCGTGAGTGTTTATGTTATGTTATTTTGAATAAACCAATTTGACCCTCTTTAATTTTTAAATAAAAAAAATTTATGGGCATATACAGTGAATTCCAGCGATTAACTTACAAATGATTGTTTGCGTTAAATACCTCAACTGAGATATTTTTAGCAAACAATTGTTTTTTCAGTATTATTTGTTGACACCTAAATTTTAATAATGCATATAATTATAAGGTTTAACTTATATTGGACCAGGTTAAGCAATATTTAAAAATATTAGTATGAATTCAATAATCATTAAAATAAGTTGAATTTTAATTTATTCATTTATTGCATTCCCAATTACAAAAGAATAAAAAGTTAATGCTGTTAGGCTTTCTCTACTAGTCAACCCATAGTTCTATTTTAGTGAAGTAATTGTGTTAATATAAATCCTTTATATCTTTTCAAACAAATTTGTGAAAAAAAAAATATTATGAAATTGGGCAGTAATTGGATTAAGGTAGGCTTGTTCTTTTTGTAGCATGGGGTTTTCTTAGGATTAAAATTTAAACATATGAACTTTTGACATCTTTGATTCATTATTTCAAATTTAACAAGTTAAAAAATTCATATATAATAAAACAAACATTGATTTGTAAAAGTATTTAATTTATCTAAAATAATTATTTATATCCCTTTCGGTCCCAGTACTCACAATTGTGACGGTGACTTTGTCAATTTTTTTAAAATTAAACAATCGCCATGAGCGAACGGGAACAGCGTCGCACGATCGTGCGTGTAGTTCGGTTTACTATGACAAAGAGCAGTGGAATTAATTACAATAATTTTGACTCAGGCGCCATTCGCCACCTAGCAAAAATCACGTGTTACGCGCCAAAATTAAACATGCCTGTTTGTCACGTAAAAGTAAGTAAAAACTATATTGTTATTGCAATCATTCGTTTGACAAAAAGCTAAATTCTCGATAAATTATGTTTTTATTCGTCCTTACGCGTATTTAGTTTGTCTTTTTCGAGGTTACTTTTAGATGTCACAATCGTGAGGGTTCGGGCCCAACGTTGGTCAGATTAGTGATTATTTAATACCAATTATTTTATGTTAAAACCCTCTTTTTTTACTTTTTAGCCTATTTGATACATCGTTATGGATAGAAATAGCTTGGCTTTTGACTCTGGTGCTATAATGGATCAACTGGCTGACTGGGATTTGGGCGAGGACTTGGACGATGATAATGATTGGCATCCACCTGGTGAGCTACCTAGTTCTAGCTCTGATGACGAAGACGAGCAAGAAGCAAGAGATTCAACAGTAGCAAGTCCATCATCGCCGAATAAATGGACTCGCAGACGATTCGTCGGTAAACCCATACCTGCACTGATCTTGGAGTCGACGGAAGAGGTACTTACTCCAAGTGAATACTTTGATAGGTAATTTACTGAAGAAATTTACGAGTTATTAGTATTAACTGCTTCAACTGCCATTGGAGCCCAGCCATTGCATAAGGTCCAACGTTACGATATAATTACAAAATCATACATCGAAGTAACTTGCCCTGATATGATAAAACATACAACGAACACATGGGAGGCCTAAACTTCAGCGACTAAATGATGGAGGTCTACAGATCATGGCATAAAACTCGCAAATGGCCAATCAAGTTAATAATGCATTTGTTTGACTTGGCCATGGTGAACTCTTGGTATGAGTATCGCCAATCATGTGACAGAAATAAAGTTTAGAACTCTAATATCATGGATTTTCAGAACTTTAAAATATGTGCCTGATTGGTGGTTGGCGGTTCAACCAGAAAACCCACCCGAGAAGAATTCGAAGAAATGACAGAGATGCCTTCAACATCCCATTATCAACCCGCACCTATTCCAACTATAGATAAACGTCTCGATGGGTATAACTATTGACCCGTACGTGATTCTCTAAAAGCTCCTCTCTGTTGCCGAGTGACAGGTTGTACAAGCCGTTCAAAAGTAAGGTGCACAAAATGCAATGTATATCTTTGTAGTACTAAAGATAAGCATTGTTTCTATGTTTTCCATAATGAAAAAAATTCTTTTTAAATATTTTTCTCATGTCTATTCCTTCTAGTAATTATAAACTGATGATCTCGATTGTTTGCCTTGTTCCTAGTTCTTAATTTTTTATTATATCTAATTTCGCCAAAAATATAGCTAAAAGAAGCGTTATATTTTTGTTACTTATTAACAATAAGAAATTAAGTTAATTTTGATTATAAAATAAATAATTATTCCTAATTTTTAATTTTATTTGAATATTGTAATTACCCTCACGATTGTGAGGGTAGCTCTAGTTGGGCCCGACGTAGTACGATCGTGAGTATCGTGGAAAACAGTTTTCCCATTTTCCTAGATTTTTTAAGACCCCATCTTTGTAATGTACGCATGTTACTTGCCCTAAATCAGTTCTGTAATATTCGTTAGGTAGCGCCGTCACGCCACGGGTCTGAAAGGGATAAGGGCTGTTCTTTCACTAACATTCTGAACTTCCATATAGTACACTTCTTCATTTATTTCCGCTGTTGGCAGCTCCACTTCTGAAGGAACTTTCTCTAAATTGTGGTTCCTACAAATATTGGGCAACACTGCGGTAGCAATTATTATTGCCTGAACTTTAGGCAAAGATAAACACAGTGTTAATGCCACAACAGGGAAGCGACGCTTCCAGACACCAAATGTTCTGAGAAAAAGATGAATGTATATTAGAAAAAGCTAGTTATGAGATTTTTTATTTTTATAAATTTAAATAATATGGTAGAATTGAGAACCGCGTCCTTTTCTGCTAATAATTAAATACCTAATACTTGTTAGACATAAACAAAGTAGTTACCTTTCAATAACATTCCTAGTTTTTATGTGTGCTTCATTATAGCGCTGTTCAGCTTCAGTAACAGGATTTATAAGAGGTGTTAACAAATATGGCCCGTTTGGATAAGCACTGTCACCAAGCATCCAGCGGTTACCAAACAGACCCGCATCCGCATTGTGCTGTATATAGATATTTAATAAAATTATTATAGCATTGAAATATACGATAAGCTAACAAAACTATTAAACCAGTCAGAAACCTCTAAGAATTGAGTTGTTAAATATTGTGGCATCATGTGTCGAGCCTGGCCAACGGGCAATCACATTCATGATTCTCAAATCAGCATCACAGATGGCTTGGACATTTAACGATAAGTAACCTTTACGATTCCTAAATTCTTCACCAATTACATGACCTAGAAGAAAACATAGTTCGGTTTAAAGATCTTTATTTCTCAATAAGACAATCGTCACTTACATGAGAACAATAACTATATCAACTTAGTAATAACAATTTTTTGTGCGGGTATAAATAACTTTGTTGGATGTCGCTTTTAACAAGCCAATATCTTTGTTGTTTATTCAAACTATAAGGTGGTGGTCCAAGTTTAATAATGTTTTTTCATTTTTATTTAATAATGATTAAGGTTAGGTATTTAGCTGTTGTGAATATAGGTAGGCAAGTAATTTCTGTTTGAAAACATTCAACGATTTCACCTCCTTTACAAATTTAGGTAGTTTGTTGTATAACTGTGCTCCTTTATACGTTATATTATTTTTACCATAGTTTGTTCTTATATGTGGCAATACAAGATGACTAGCTCGGCGTGTTATGTATTTGTTTGTTTGCTTCTTTGTTAAAAATGTGAGTTGTGTGTGGATTAATTTAGTGTATCTTTTTTATAGAATAAGAGTGACAAACTAGTATGTAGTTCACCTGGTGGTAAGAAGATGCTGTTATAGACCTACGTTTGTTCTACATTTAAGATTAAAATGTAGATGCATTGTCACACCTGAGGACTATGATATAATACCTCGTTATCATATTTAACACTGGTATTCTGTGGGAGTGTAGTTCTTCCCCTTTCGAGCCAACCCATTTGTAGTACATGTTAAAGTGTAGCCATACCACATACCTAATATAGTAAAATAGTGTTTTATAAATGATATTTATGATAAGAAAACAATTTTACCCCATAAATATTAGGAAATACTCACATGGCGATTGGATTTGTATATGAGTGCAATCAATTGTGGCAAGAACTCTAGGAAATCCTTCAATATTATAGAATTTTTCAGCACTATATTGGTGTACAAAAATGTATTCATCATACAAGTTGGCAATTGCTGATGTTATATCACGAACTATTCTGCCAGCTGCTTATGCATTAAATCGTAGTGTTAGTAAAAGTTGATGGAGTGGTGAACTCCATTGTTCCTGAAAATTTAAAACTATTACTGAATACCCACACAATACAATGTTTTGAAATTAAATTGATTTGTGTTTAATTTAATGTTTTACATCATTTCCAAAACTATTTACCTTGTTGAGGTTACACGAATAAACGGCATCAATTCCATTAAAAGCGATGTGAAAGCAGGTTTTGATAACCTAAATCTAAACGTGAAATTGGCATCATCCAGGCTCTGCATGTAGTTAACTCTTCTAATTTTTCGTGAAGAAGCGCGGTGTCTATCCTCAGCATCGCTATCAGTATCCCAATCGGATAACTGAGCCAGCACATCCAAATCACTGTCATCACTATCACTAGAAAATATCGATATTTCCATTTTCTTTCTTTAGTAAAATCAACGCTGTGACGAAATCCCGGTATTTCTTGGATTGCAATCTGCGATCGTTTACACCGGTCAAAACAAATGTCAAAATGAACAGATAGGTTATTAACAGACTGTCATTTTTGAACAGAGGCCAATCGTTATTCTGTGATCCGCCCTCTATAGGATAGATTGATTTTAAAGATTACAAGATATCAATGCACAGATCGTTTATTGGCACGCTTTACCCATAAAATGGATTAAAACACCAATCTAAGATAGCAAAAATTGGATCAGGATTGATTATTAATTTCGGGCGTAAAAGCAATGTCCTGAGCTACCTGTATCATTTTTGTACACGTTTTTAAATCATTCCTCCAACTAGAAGTGGGTCACACTACAGTTTACTTTCCAGCATTAAATACAATGTCCTTAAGACCGAATTTTGGTCAGGGCGGCCAGTTTCAACAGATAACAGTGTTTGAGTGTACGCCAAGTAAAGCAGCACTCTATATTCCCGCATTATCATTGTCGGATGGGAAGGTAGTCTGACTGCCTCGTTGGACTAGTGGTCGTAGGACTGCGACTGCTGATCATGAGGTCCTGGGTTCGAATCCCTGGTCGGTCTAAAAAATTAATTATTGAGTTTTGCCTTCAAGAAATTCTCAGTAGTTGTCCGGAGTCAGGAAGTGGCGATGTCTCACCCCCGTGCCTCGGAAAGCACGTAAAGCCTTTGGTCCTGCGCCTGATCTCTCTCCGTTTGTGTCGGTAAGAGAGTGCACCTGTGCTTGCGCATGCACTTGGGCACTATAATCCTGTCCTGCGCCGATGGCTAGTCTCCGTTGAGGCAGGCCGCCGTGGCCGAAATTCGGTCTGGAGGACATTATTATTAATCAGACAGGAACAGGCGCAGGACACGAATGATGACACGAGCAGATCGAATCAAACACGAGAGAATCAAATTTACAGCTAGCGCTTAGTCCTTGAGTTACCACGCTAATATCTTAAATCAAACTATTTATTAAAATTATCTGATGTTACCTTTCTCTTTTCCTTAAATATTACATATTATTTAAGAATTTTGGAACATATTTACTAGTTGGTAAAACTCATTTTCTACTAAGAAGATATGTGTCGCCAAGTGTGCTCTATTGCGTTCCAGTGTCCAGGGCCATAGGCAGTATATATTTTTTTAATTTTATATTTAGGGGGGAAACGAGCATACGGTTCACCAGATGTTAAGTGACTACCGCCGCCCATGAACAACTGCAACACCAGGTGAATTAAAAATTACAGGCTATAATGCATTTATCCTTGATATCCTCTGTGATATCAACGCATGTGTAGCCTTTTTGTTTAAATTTGTTTTGTGCAGGTGTCCAAGGGCTACAATACCCACTTACCATAAGGTGGACTATAAGTCCCTTCGTTACTTAAATAGATTTTGTCACGTATATTAACATATTTTATATTCCCAAAGTTTCGAGCACTTTAGGGCACTCATGGTCACAGGACTGAGCTGTTCGATGTCCCAATGTCATAGTTAACCACAGCTACACCCAGATTAAAATTATAAATTTTTGTTCCGATCTACGCAGTATGAATTTATAGTATCTCAAAGTCTTGCAGTTGTATGCTTGGTAAGGCATTTAATTTTATTAATTATGTGATCCCAATCAGATGGTAGCAACCAGCCAGCTTCTCTATTGAAATCAGGATATATTTTGGATTACAATAGTGTCGCGAAGCATCCTTGGAAGGAATCGATGTTCTATCAAATCTGATGTAATAGCGGGGGTCGTCTAGGATATAATAACAAATTGCAGACTTCCCGAAACGTTGATGCTTCACGTCAGCTATATGCTCCTTTACGCGGGTTCTACTTGATCCTTTTGTTTGCCCCTTATATGAGAGACCACATCATGTAGAGGAATATGACAATTGACGGATGGTAAGAACTGATTAATCTTCTCCGGCGGCTTGTATAAAGTTCTAATAGAAGCTCGCTTCAAGATGTAGCCATCATGTGAGTGACTCCTCTGACATCACTTTGAAGTAGGCGCGGGACCCGAAGCTTGTTGTGCAGACTTCCCGAAGCGTCGATTCTTCAATTCGAATATTTTGATAATGAGCCATACTAAATACAAAATAATAATAACGAAGCAGGGTTGGGCCGTTCGTTGTAGTAATAAGTATGTTTTATGAACATCAAAATACATTACCGGATTCTAAATGTAAACCCTCACACGAAGTATAACCGGCAAGAAACTCTGAGATGAATTTTTTTATTTTTCCTTTCTGAAAAAAAAAATATTTCACTATACAAACAATACTTTATTTGATTACACAGTAAGAGTACATTGAAATATAGGTTAACAAATTCAGTTGCAACCAAATTGCAAATTATTACTTGAAAAATTGGACAGCTGATAGACATGCCTACAGTTAACTTGTTTAATTTTGCATTCTGCGAGTACCTAACAAGTCTTACAACGTTTTAGCGTTTAAAATTTTGCCTGAATAGATTTTTACAATACTTAAACTTAATGCACGAAATACTAATTAGATTTATTTAGGGAATTAGAAATGATGTTTACATTATTAAACAGCAGAATATTTGAAAGAAATTGAAATGAAAGTAAACGCAAGACGAAAGTAATGGTTTTTAAGGAGAAAAAAGTCAAATGATATATAAAACAAGAGTAGAAGGGGAGCTGGTTCTGCAAGTATATGAATTTGTGTATTTAGGATGTGTATTTTGCAGGAATGGTATATCTACTATTATCATATCTGATAAGGATATAGAACGACGAGTGAACGCAGAAAATAGAGTAAATGAGGCTCTTCACTCTATTGTGGGAAGTGAGGATGTGACCAGGATTGAGAAAGGAATGCTTCGGTGGTTTGGTCATGTAGAAAGACTGAACGAGGAAAGAGTGACAAAGCAAATCTATGTTACAGAAGTGGACCGCAGAGTCGGCAAGGGACGCCCTAGAAAGTTTATCGACCAAATTGGCGATATATTGAAGATGTGCCATATTAAGAGTACTCTCAATCGACGAGCATTTATGCTTATGTATATGGATGTAGAGGAGGCGAAAAGGTGTGTAAAGATTGCGCTAAACGGAAGTTCGTAGTCTCTGCTTACCCTTCTGAGTGACAGGCGTGTGTGTTAATGTATAATTAGAATAAGATTTTATTTTGTAGAAAAAACTATTTAATTTTTAACATTTTTTTATAGCATTGGGTGTCAAACGAGCACACAGTCCACCTGATGACAAGTGGCATATAGACATCCAAATTTATCCTCAACTAAGGATCTAAATGTAAATGTGCTGTCACCCCTGAGGACAATGATGGAATGCCTCGATTTCAGTAAAAAGGGTCTCCGGTTCTCTACACTCACCATACGAAACAGCAGCATTACGCTGCTATTTTACGCCGGTATTCTGTGAGAGCGTGGTCTCGTCCCGGTCGAGCCGACTCTTTTGTGCTACAACTATAATAGCTGCAGCGTGGCTCTACCACGTAAAAGAATGTTATAAAAAGATTAATTCTATAAGGTTTTTTAATTACTAAATACACACACGCTTGTTTACCAACAATTTATAACAATAAATACCTACGAAATTAATGAATTCCAATAAGGCTATTAATTTACTTCTTAGAATCCATTCAAGACAAAATTCAAACTAACCGGTGATTACCATTAATTGCTAACAGTACCGCCATATTCTATTACGAAGAATTTAATTATCGCTGTCGCTGCAGACCACGTACTGTATCGCCGGTCTGGGCGAACGTCGCGTCGTTCTTGCTTATAAATCACCGGGTGCACTCGATGTAGCTGGATAGGGCGCCCCGTTGCGCAATCGGTTGTGACCGTCCGTGATCACCCTATTTTTATTCCATTTATCTATTGAAACGCGGTGTGCAGTTGACGTAATGTCAGCGGACTCAAAGTCAATTAAAATGAAAAGTTACCTATTAATATTGAAGAGTAAATAACTTTCATTTTTTTAGTAATAAAAAAATACATATATGTTGTCCGAAATTGGTTTTCCATAACACAGGTTAACACGGTTTGTTTTTTAAAGCAATGTAAAGTCATTTGTGTGTTCAAAGGAACGTTAATCCCCTTTAGCCCGTAAACAAAACTACGGATTAATAAAAGCTCTAGTTAAAGCAGTTATTAGATGGCAAATTTAGTTATAATTACCATGCTTAGATATTGAAAATTACAGTACCACAGGTCACACCTTTAACGTATCTTCCCATCGTTTACATCTGGTATAAATTTGTGATGGATATACCGCTTTTGTCCGTGATTTTTGTCCACATTACGATAAGAAAGTGTACTAAATAAAGCCTCTAGAATAGTGTAAACTCTCCTATGTACAAGGGCGTATTATGTCCTTATTATCTAAGTTATGCCTTCACTGGAGCAGTAACTTCCAATTTTATTCTTTTATGAGTAGAATAATAGAATTCACTTGTTGGTAGAGCCCTTTTTCCTCTTAAGAATTTTTGTTCGGAGTTAAAAGGAATACAGAACCTGCATCAATAATGATCGTGAAGTAATCACTCTTAGTTTTAAGGAGTGGTGATATAATCTGCAAGTATAATTGAGATACAGTAGCCATCAAGTCGACAGTTATTATTATTAAAAAAATATTTTACTTAATAACACTTTATAGAATTACTATTTGCCGCTTACTTTTTACGGATCTTTCCATTTTTGTTTCATTTAAGTTTGCTCATTTAGAGCCTCCAGAAATATATTTTTGAACCACTAGGTACTCGTGTAGTATTCCAGCTCCACGCAGAACTTAAGGACTCTACCATGTTTTCAAATGATGTGTTCCGCATCTAGGGACCTCCCGTTATCCTCTATAATTTATTTTACTTACATTTTGTTATACTTTGTTTGAACAATAGTTTTATAATCATTATTTACTTACTTACTTATCTTCACGCACAATCCCTAACGGGGTAGCCAGAGAGAACAGATCGCC